GTAACATTTTAGTATAATTATGTTGTGAAGGTGTTAGAGAGATTCATTATGGGTAATGCAAAATAAGTTAGTACACCTTTGACGAATAATTTTAGATTGTCTATCGCTCAGTGCCCAAAGATATTTGCTGAGGATGTAGCTATGTCAACGAGCCGGGCCCGATCTTTTTTGGGCCCGAGCAGAGTAAAGCCCCGTCAAAAAAATGAGGTTCGGCCCGAGCCTGAGCGGGTTTCTTGGATTTTTTTTATTGCTGCCTGCAACAGATGTCTTTAAAAAAAATTTCATTTAAATTTTTTTTTAGATATAATAATGGGCAGGTTCGCCGGGGCCATGGGCCGGCCCGGGCTCGAGCCGAGTCGGCGAGCTTTTTGCCATCACTATGAGGATGAAAATGTGTCATAGGTTTCATACGGTAGTGCAATAGGTTGTCTAATGCATGCTAGGGTTTGTACAAGATCGTAATTGACACAAATTGTTAGTGTGGTGGGCAAGTTTTTGGCAACTTCAGGACGACAACATTGGGATGTGGTCAATTGGACTTTCATATACTTAAGGGGTACTAAAGACTATGGGTAAGGAAGGGGCTACAATAGACGAAGGGATACAAGGAGAGGGAAAGAGAGCAACACAGAAATAAAAAAGGTGAATGAGTTAAGTAGGAATGATATCGGAGCAGTGTTTTGAAACCCAACCCAACATTGAATCGAAAAAAGGTCAAGAGTCAAAAGGTTTAACCGGGGATCGAACCGATATCAAACCGCAGGTAAAAAAATAAATACGTATAAACCGTTTAAATTGATTTTAACAACAATATATAATTAAATTTGCATACCACCTGTTGACCTCGAAAAATGGCTCGGATACGTGGCCAACAGGATATGTCTTCAAGTTAAATCCTCCTGCACACGTAGCACGCCGTCAGTCACTCGTGGCCTCTCCCTGAGGGGGTAGGAGCGGCCACAAGCACTCCGACGGTCAAGTCAGTTTTATATTCGACCAATAAGGGATTCGCCGGCGGTAGAACACTCGCCGGGGAGGTAGTCGATATAGTGTCGATAAAATTGACGAAAATGAGGGAAAGGATGATACTTGGTTTTTTTGCAGTATGTAGGGGAGCAAATGGGATTTTTCTCTCTTTTTTTTAGGCACAATGAGGGGATATTTATACTAAGGATGGAGAGAGGAGGGCCATTGGATGAGGGGACACGTGTTGTCAGATCCTCAAGGCTCGTCCCATCCTAGGTGTCACTCTGTCCCTCCATAGGTCGACTGGTATTGAATGTTTCAGCCACAGGCTGCTGATTTGACCGTTTGAGAACCTGCCGCACGTCCCGTCAGTCAGAGATTTGACTTTGGGAAGATCTGTACAAAAGATCTTCGTAGAGGCGAGGTGTGGCAGGTGAAGCGTTGCAGCGTTGTAGAAGCGGAGTGCGGGCCTTTACATCCACTGAGTACTTGTGGATGAGTCCGGTTCGTTCGCTGAGGTGTTTTCAGTTCGTTCCTAATGCAATCACCTCGACATGTACAATCAGTTCGGTTTTTGGTTTAATCACCTCGTCCGGTACGTGGCTTGGGCCACGGGTGTGGACACGTGGCGGGTGAGGTGACGGGTCTGACACAGGCCCGTAACACCACCCATTCAAAATAAATTCAAATATGTCATATATATGTTCAACAATATAAAATTTATTAGTTTGTAATTTGTTGGATCATTAGAAACTTATTCCACTGTTACTGATTGATTCATAAGATTAAAGAAATAAGAAATGTTGCAACAGTGTGAAGAAATTGAGTAATCCATGTTCCAACAGTATTAATAAGTGTATCGTATATATTGATATAATATTTACCTTTGTTAAGGAGAAGGGAAGAAATTGATATAAAGAGGATCCTTTTAAATTGACTTGAAAAAAGGAAAATATCACTTTTAGTAAACGCAAACTAACCAACCATTCAATACGAAAATTTCTTGAGTTCCTTTTAAAAAATATAAACTAAGTTTTACTTTGGAATTTATTTATTTTTACTTTTTTAATGAGTGGAGATCTGCGTTTTTAGGATCTGCGTGCTCCCTGGTTATTCTCGTGCAATCAATAATTACCCAGTGAATGATAAGTTTTATGGGGCATAGTTCAGTAGTGCAAAGGACATGAGTGAGGTAGTCTCAATTGAGCTAGCAGGTCAATTCCTGCCTCTTACAAGGTGTAAAATTGGACTCTTTGTAGGTACCAATATGACAATTCTTATACTTTAGGATGGGGTGGTGAGGGACCCTTAAGGTTGTGGTTCAACTTTTAATAATTACCAAGTGAATGATGACTCTACTGCAAGTTTTCTCAGCATTTATTAATGAGTGGGATACACGCCTCTCCTTTATTTATATTCTACGAACAACCTCTTTAATCATGACTTTTATTGCTTTAATTTGCTTTTAGGTTGGTTTTAAATTCGCCTTTTTAAAACACTCCTTTAACCCAGAAGCGTTTCTTCTTAGGCTTGTGACGAATTATAGACGAAGAATTCTTTTAAAATCTTCTCATTTATTTACGTATCTTCGATGGAATAAACATAGTTGGTAATTTTTACTTTAATAAGATCCTATACTCTTTCATCGACGAAATGGAACATATTTATTTTTACACTCATGTACATTAGACTTATAGTTCATGTACATGCATGTCCATGTGCTCACATGTAATCGTACTATGTGATTCAAGTGTTTCGTCTTATATATCTATGTTTTCGAAGTCTTGTTTAAGTAAACGTGGTATAACGTTTCTAACTGAGATTAAAAAGACAAAAAAAAAAAAAAAATATTTTTTTTTTAGAATACTCACAATACAAGAATACTGACCATAGATCAAGAACATGGTTTTTATACTAGAAGAATACGCCTTACGGCATATATGATTTTCTTATAGTTTTCGTTTAAGAATATTCGAACTCTCTAACAATATTCTCTTAGCCACTATTAGGTGTAGATAAAAATTAAATTTTTCGTAGGTTTTGATAAAAGTTAATTAAACGTATGGTTAAAAAAATTAAGAATCTCATAAAAAAATATGATTAAAATTAATTATTAATTTTGATTGGATATTAAAATTAAACAGAAACTTAATCTTTTGCTTTCAAGAGTCAAGCCTATGGTCTTATCTAAACACACCACGTGTACACAAATTGAGTTTTGTGAATTACGAAACTTTTTATTTTTTAATAGATGTGACTTTTTTGGTCCAGCCCAAAAAACGGGGTTGATAATGTAAAAGCAAGGATCATACACTGTACTACTTTTTGTCTAAATCTCGGCTAACAAAAGATAGTGTATTCAACGTGCGACTCCTAGGTTGTCGTGTGTTCTTTTATTCTAAAGGATGGAGAATCAAGTCACGTTTAAATCAATGATTCGAGTTTTGACAACACTAACATTATCGATCATTGTTATTAAGTATGATTATACAAATAGTATAATTGAAGGAATAAAACAGTAATGTTATTTTAATCATGCTACACAAACATGTTCAGTGACGAGGATTAAAAAAAGGGACACGTGGACCAAAAAAAAAAAAAAAAACTTAGCCATGCAGGCAATGCCAATACAGCTCCTGTCTAAAACTCTGTTTTCAATCACTGAGTAGCATTATTGATGTTACTACACTAATTTAGATGACATTAAGGTCCTATTTGGGAGAGATTTAGATTTTTCTATAGTAAATCAATTCTCATTTTCAACCACACATTCTCCAATAAAATAATATTTTCTATCATATCAATAATTTTTTTTTCTTTTTTAACCACACATTTCCCATCATATCACTATTCAAAATCAATTCTTCCCCCAAAAATCCCTCCCAAACAAGTTTTAAATATCATTGAATAAAATGTATAATTAAATAATTTACTTAATTTCACTTTTAATTAAATATATACCACATAATATTACATACATTGGTGCTCTAGCACCACTATTACTAGATAATATTATCCAAAAGAAGCCCTCTGGAGCATAGCTTAGTGGTGTAAAGGACATGAGTGTGGTGGTCTCAGCTGAGCTGACAGTCGCAGTGTGAGGGTTCGATTCTCGCCTCTTACAAGGTATGTAATTGGACTCTTTGTGGGCACCAGTATGATAGCTTTTATATGGGCCTACTGAGACACATTCCATGATTTACCTCCTCCACAATGCTCTATAAACGGGACTGTGGGGACCCTCAAAGTTGAAGTTCAACTGTTTTTATTAATCAAAAGAAAAACATCAAGTTGCAAAAGATGGATAAATACTAAAAGGACACTCACATGGCAAGGTTGCTTGGAAACTTTTAAAATGGTAATGAGAATTCTAATGGACTTACTAGCCTTAATTGTTACAGAGCGGACGACGCTAACATAATAGGGGCAGGAGACAAATGAAACTATCAGTTTTGGAGAGAAATAAACAATCGAAACCAATAAGAATCTTATAAATTGAATCATTAGTTACAAACGTAAATATATTCGTTTCGATTCTGTTTCATAATTTAGAATTCGTTTTGATTCTTGAATAAGATGATTAAGATAAGATCAATAAGTGCAATCTGTCATAAACAAGCTCTTACTTGATTCAAGATGAATTCGTCACTCTTAAGTGCAAATGTTCAATATAAGAGAACATTCTTCATCGAACACAACAAATGAAAAAAAATTGGTTAACATAAGATCGTTAAGCTTCTGTTTGATGGAGATTAAAATCATATTTTTAGCATATTTTGATAAAAATGAATGAAATTTGTGATTAAAAATTGTTGGTCTCATAGTAAAGTTAATTGTTAATTTTGAATTCCGTGAAAATATAAATTTTAATTTCTATGAAACTGGACTAGATATATTCTTGAACTGTCATGAGCTTAAGAAAACATTCTTCACAAAATTAATAACACATAATTGCTGCTTATGATAAATAATATTACTAGATATATTTCCATATTACATAATCTGGGCATTTGTAGGAAATAAACTTTTGAGGATTAGTTCTCAAAATGAGTCATCCTTGGCAGTATATGAATAGCTACAACTTCCGATTCAGGTGGTGGAGCCACCGCCCAAATCTTAGCTGGTGTCGCTAAAATGTCAACCACGAGAATCTCTCCACCACCGGCACAAACAGCACAAACTCTTCCTCCGCCTGCAGCTATATATTCAGCACCTTTTAGATGCTCCGAGAACTCGATCAGATTCTCCCAGCAATCATTTTCTGCATTATACTTGCTAAGAGAACCATTTTCCTGATCTACCTCGTATATAAAATCACCATCCACGGCAGCCGGGCCGATCCATCCGGCAAGCATCCCCCGCGGCATTTCTTCCCACTGATTCGTCAAGAAATCATAAACAATCCCGTCTTTAGGGGCTTTTCCGTTTACATTTACCATGTAAAGCTTGTTTCTGTACCCAAGTGCTTCCACAGCTTCTCTACTGAACCTCCCGTCTTTAAGTGAAGCCATATTTTCCCAGTTCCAGTCCATTTCCTTCTTGTTCATGTCCCATTTCTCGACAGACCGTGCTACATCGCTGTGGTACTGCGCACCAACGCCACTTGCTATGTATACTGCACCCTGTGCAGAACCCGCTACGCACCAGCGGCGTGGATTAGACAGTGGAGGGCCAAAAGTCCAGTTACTGGATAAAGGGTCGAAGACTAATGGATGGCTTAACGCTGGAAGAAACTTATGAGTGGTGGCGGATATCAAAACTAAGCGCCCTGAAACTGCTAGAGACTGAATAGGAAGAGATCTTGATATGAAAGAGGGATGCCGGCGGAGGAGGCACAGAGGTGGTTCCGATGGAGGACTTGGCAGCTCCTTCCAGGTGGACGAAATAGGATCAAAACAGCAGAAATCTACAGAATCTGGACGCGAAAGAACCGTGTAAAGAGAGGAAAATGGAGGAAAAGAAGGGGAGTAAATTAAACGCCGCCATGAATGGCACACCCTGTAGAGAACAGAAGGATGGAGAGTGGAAAGACAAATCTGAGCAAGATGATTTGGCAAGCCTGGAAGTAGAACGGACTCAAATTCTACCTCCATTTTCTGGTCATTTTCTTCATTGTATAATTTGCAGGGTTTTTTAGCGGATATATTCATATTGTTCGTGATTCTACAATGGCAAATAGGCCTGTATATATAGAAATGGAGTTAGCAGGTATCTATTTTGCTTACTTCCTAGTGTATATTTGATAAAACTGCTAAATTTTTTTTATGAGTTTTGTTCAATTCATTAGAATCAAAATTTTTATTTTCAATAAATATTTTATTTACTTTTATCAAAATCTCTATCAAATAATCCAAAAATCCTTTTTACTGGGCCATATTATGATTATAGTGGGAGCAGGTTAGGTAATAAAAAATGCAAGAATCATACATACTTTTTATTATTGGAGTGGAGTGTCTTAAAAGAAAGTAAGACAAAGGTATAACTCACGATTTGTTAGAAAGTGCAATGAATGATGCAACTTTATATGTTAGAATATCGACTTTCCTGGTTCAAGACAAATATTTATGATATCAACTAATTTTCGATTCTCGTGAACAATATTTCTTTTGAATTGCGTGGTAGTAATAAGAAATTAATTTATGTTTTGTATCGTTAAAAAATCTGATTAAAATCTAAATTAAAATCAATAATTAATTTTAAACGTATATTTTATAAAACTCACAACTTTTCAACCAAGCATTCCATTAACTTTTATCAAAACCTACTAAAAATTCGATTTAAATATCTAACAAACAGAGATAAATACCAATGTTCTTTATTGATATTATATGACATCAATAATTATCTACGATGGTCAACAAGGTGAAAACTCCTCAATTGACACTCTACGTAGAGCATCACATGTTAGACTGTTGACCACTATTGAGGTCTCTACGTTCTACTAAATCGTCTACCACTGTGAGACCCTCTACATTCATACTAGGTCATCTACCACTACGAGACCCCTACATTCATATTAGGTTGTCAATCACTACGAGGCCGTCGACCACCATGAGGCCCTCTACATTCATACTAGGCCGTTTATCATTATGAGGTTGTTGACCACTATGAGGATCTCTACGTTCACATTAGGCTGTCTATTACTATGGGGCCCTCTACGTTCATACTAGGACGTTTACTATAATGAGCTCGTCGACTACCATGAGACTCTCTACATTCATACAGGCCGTCTAATACTATGAAACTATCGACCACTATGAGGTCCTCTACATTCATATTAGGTTGTCTACCATTATGAAGTCATCTACGTTCATATTGTGTCGTCTACCACTACGAGGCCTCTATGTTCATACTAAGCCGTCTACCACTATGAAACCCTTTACGTTCATACTAGACCGTCTATTACTATGAGACTGTCGACCGCTATGAGGTCAGCTACATTTATATTGGGCCGTCTACCACTATTAGGCTTTCTACGTTCATACTAGGTCATCTACCACTATGAGACCTCTACGTTTATAGTAGGTCATCTACCACTATGAAGCCATCTACATTCATACTAGGTCGTCTACTACTATGAGGCCTTCTACATTCATAATAAACCGTCTACCGCTATGAGGCTCTCTACATTCATACTAGGCCATCTACCACTATGAGGCCCTCTACGTTCATAGTAGGTCGTCTACCATTACGAAGTTGTCAACCACTACGAGGCTCTCTATGTTCACACTACGGAGGCTCTCTACGTTCACACTAGGCTGTCTATCACATTTTGAACCTTCTACATTCATTCTAGGACGTCTACCATTATGAGGTCGTCAACCATTATGAGGTCATCTACATTCATATTAGGTCGTCTACTATTGTGAGGTCATTTACGTTCTACTAGGCCGTCTACCACTATGAGGCCATCTACGTTTATACTAGGTCGTCTACTTCTATAAGGCCTTCTGGCTCACACTAGACTGTCTACCATTATGAAATCGTCAACCATTATAGGGTTCTCTACATTTATACTAGGACATCTACCACTATGAGGCCCTCTACGTTCGTTATGAAGCCATCTACCACTTGATAACCCAAGAATAACTAACCAGGAGGGGGTGAATTAATTTTTGAAACTTTTTCGACACTGAGTCTCAAAACAATACAATACACAATATATGAACGCAAAGTATAATACTAGAATCAAATATGCAAATTCGATAACTTATTTCAAGTATGAATATAGTACAATATAAAATAAAGTACGATAATGTAAAGATAATAAACCAATTTAATGGGCTTTGATACACAATGTGTTCTACGTCCCCGTTACCAAACTCTCCGTTACGAGTAAGACCAAATGCACTATAATGGTAACTTACAAATAAAGAGTATCGATCCTTAAGTAACTTACAACAAGGAGCACCTTTCCTTAAGTGACTTTCAATAAGGAGCACTTATCCTTAACAACAATCGAGTTTTCACAAGTCTCTCGAAACCACTAAAGTATAAATAATAGTTTTACAATTGAAATAGCTCTCTTAACAAATGATATAATCAAATATTTAGAGAGTTGTGATAACACTTCAATAGATCGCAAATAATAAAGCTCAAGTGTTTGCGTTGTAAACTTTGATAAACAATGAATATTGAAATAATTTGTATATTTGAACCAAAATTTTCAACCTATGATCTCTCTTAACAAATAATACAAGTTAAGTATGAAGAGAGATTTACACATAAATATAAGTGTTGGCAAAGAAAACTTCTATCAAGAATGAAGAATAGATGAGATTGAGAAAATTTCTTTGCAAAAGGAAATCTTGATGAGATAGATGAAAATTAGTTCGATCAATCAAGAAATTCTCTGTAATAAACTAAATAGAATTTAAAATCAAGTAAACTCAACGATATTCAATAAATAAACTCTTTAAAAATCTCTTATAAGTAGTTGAAAATTGAATGCAAAAGGAATGAATATTTATAGGGCAAAAGGGAATCTCTTAGTCACTTTCGGTTTCCCAAAAGTGTACAGCCATTGAGAAATCAAACAATTGGACCAATTCTGCATTTTGATCGACCAAAGTTTGAATTTTCGGTTGACCAAAAGTTGGATTTTTTTAAAAAAATTACATTTCAATATTTCATATTATGAATGAAAAACATTTTTATGCAAGTGATGGATTATGAAAATAATTTGAGTTTTATACACTTGCTAAGAATCGATAAGTTAATAATTTTGCATTTAAGTTCCGATAGACTACTTCTAAACTTTAATCTTCAACGTTTTTGTTCTCTTCGAGTCTCATTTGATTGCTTGTTCTTTAACGGATGACGATTTGAGTTTTTGAATGCTTAAGAAAATGTATTCACGAAAAATTCAAGAAACAAAACTTGTTATAAACATAAGTGATTTGTTTATTATAATCAAAACAAATGGAGCTATATTGAATCATATGTCAACACCACTATGAGACCAACACAATACTTAACCATAAAAACTGTCATGACTTAGGTGGGAACCATTTAATAGTTATCATGACATAACCAACCAATGTACAAGTGGATGTCTTCTACTCAAAACGTGGGGGTGGTTGGAGATGTTACGTGGGACACGTGGCACAATAATCACCCAATAGTTATATGGCTTCAATCACCTATAAATACTCCTAAGGCGAGACAGGTATGGATCTGAAAAATTTCGTCTACACATTCTATCTTTTCTTCCTACGTTGCATTCACAAATTCTCTATTAATTCTCACGTCGGAGTACAACGAGGGAGAAAACTCCGACCTCATTTCGGAGGTAATATTTGCTTATCCGAGTAGCAGAAACACCTTGGACCTTCGAGAGGGCACAGAGGTTTATTTCATAACCATTTCATTTATGAAGAATACTTATCGACTAAGATCTTTTCATCATACTTCCAATATTCTATACATTTAGTGTCAAGATTAGTTGAAAAAACCTTATATTTATCGAGCACGAAATTTTCAAGAATATATTGAAATATTTTTTATTGTTGAAAACATTATGCCCTTGTTTGCCCCCCATTATATTTCATTCTATTACATTAATTTTTTCTCTCTCCTCATCTCAACCATCCATTCATCAAATAAAATAATAATACACACAAATCAAAAACTTTTCAACCACACATCTNTAATAATACACACATATCATATACTTTTCAACCACACATTTCACATCAATCACTATTCTAAATATAATCTACCCCCAAAAATTTAAATTAATGGGGGGCAAACAGGGGCTATATCAATATTTGAGCCACATTTTTTGAGATTATAGATTTTGTAATAGTGATTTATGGAGAATATATGATTACAAATTAGAGAAACTTTGGATTTATGGGTAAATTATTTTATTGAATTTTTTTTATTGAAAATGAATTTGGAAAGAAAATAGAGCTCAAAGACAAGCTAAGGCCCTGTTCTCTTTGTCGTTTTCAAGTCGTTTTCTGTTTTTAGTTTTTGAAAACAGTGAAAACGCGTTCTCTTTTCTGAAAATGGTCTATAAATATCAAATTTTGGGCCAAAATTTGAGGGTCAAGAAGTATGTTTGAGCACATACATTATTCTCAATAAATTTATATTTTGTAAAAATGAATATGTATTTTATTTCTATGTTCTAAAAGTATAAAATTGCAAACAAATGAAGCGAAAATTGTAAAAAATGTGAGAATTTGTGAATAATAATATTTTTCTCAAAAAAATCTTAAAAATAACACTGAAAATGGAAAACGGGTAAAACTACGTTTTGAAAATTTTCTGGCCAAAATACGGGAACTGGCCAAAACACGGGAAATGGCGTTTTCCAATTCTCTCTCACACCACTCTCTGGCTCTCGTTTCTCATTCCTCTCTCTCTCTACCGTCTCCGGCTCTCCCATAACGAAGACAAACTGTTAAATCAATTTCGTCTCTTTCAAACCCACAATCCAAATTGAAGGGTTGCTTACAGGATCTTCAAATCAAGGTATTGAGATTGTTCTTCTCAAATCAAAGGCTTCTCTGCGGTCGTTTCAAGCAAGGTTGGGCATCTTCAAATTAAGGTTTTGATTCTTTTCTTGTGATAATATTTGGTTATT